TGGTCTGGAGACAGAGACATGGACAAAAAGACAGGAGACAGAACTGGAAGTAGCTGAAATGAAGATGTTGAGGTTCTCTCCTTAAGTGACAAGGATGGAGAAGATGAGGAATGAGATCATCAGAGGTACAGCACAGGGTGAACAACTGGGAGATGATGTTAGAGAGGACACACTGAGATGGTTTGGACATGTCCAGAGGAGGGACAGTGGGTATATTGGCAGAAGGATGTTAGAAATGCAGCTGCCAGAAAAAGGACAAAGAGGAGATATGCAGTTAGAGAGGACATGGAGATAGTTGGAGCGAGGACAGAGTGAGATGGAGGAGGATGACTCACTGTGGCTACCCCTGAAGAGGGAAGAGCTGAAAGAAGAAGAAGACTTCATTATCAAGGTGAAGTCTTGTCTCCCTTTAACTCCAGTAAGAGCACTCCGGTCTACCAAACAGTTTCTCTCAGATGGTCCCAAATCCAAAATGAAGTCCAGAGGTGATCGGGCTTTTGCGGTTGCTGCTCCACTGTGGAACAGTTTACCATCATTTAAAGACCACTGAGGGGGCTGCGGTAGCTTGGTGGTCAGTGCCGTGGTCTTGTTATCCTGAGGTTGAGGGTTTGAGCCCAGGTTGCGTCAGGAAGAGCATTTGGTGTAAAACAATTGTCAAGTTTTTCACTTGAGTTCTCTCGCTGTGGCGACCCCTGAAGAAGGGAACAGCCAAAATAAACTTACTTTGAAAGACTGTTGAGACCAGTAGCGATTTTAGCCTCTTTTTGGGGGTGCTCAAGCACCCTTAAATTTTAACTCAGCACCCCTGAACATTTAAGAAACCATCATTAGGATTTGTAAGGAAAACCTTAGATTCACAAAAACATTGAATACATTTAGAATAAATACGGAATAAATGATGACTCTTAAACTGGCCCGTAAAATTTATGATTTTTTTGCACGAGTCGGATCCTCGACGCGACCTATCAGTCAATCCAGTAGGCTGGTCCGCAACTGACCAATTGGCAACCTCAATTTGTTCCAAAGTGAAATGCCCCTTACCTGCAGGAACTGGGGAGATGGGGTGGGGGCATGCATGAGAGAAGCAGAGCGCTACATCTGTGGTATCTTAGCTAGCATGTCTGTATTTTTAGCTAGCAGCCTGATTTTTAAGCAGTACAGGCAAAAGAGAGCACATTACACCAGTTTTGTCCTCACTGCACTGGTTACGGTTCACTTTCGAATCCATTTCAAAATACTCATGTATGTCTACAAATCACTGAACAGTCCCCCCCCCCCCCCCCCCCCCATCTCTCTGATCTGCTACAACCGTATGTCCCACCACGCTCCCTGAGGTCAGCGGACCAGTTGCTCCTCACAGTTCCAGGAACTCGTCTTAAGCGCAGAGGTGACAGGGCCTTCTCTGTAGCAGGACCAATACTTTGGAACGAGTTACCTCTGCTTGTCAGACAGGCCCCCCTCCCTCTCGGTTTTCAAGTCCCGTTTAAAAACTCACTACTATTCAGTAGCTTTCAACACCAGATGATCTGTGTTTTGATCCTGTATGCTCCACACAGGTTTGTCGTCATTATCTGCATCGTTTTTACGTCTATATTCTGATTTACCTCATTTTGTATTTTGCTTTGTGTGTTACTTGTTGTTTTGTCTGTACAGCACTTTGGTTGGCCTTGTCGCTGTTTTAAATGCTCTATAAATAAAATGGTATGGTACGGTATGGTATGGTATTGTTGCGGCGCACAATATTAAAAAAAATTCTGCTTTATTCAAAATAAACTTTATTCAAAATTTTCTGGGGGATGAATCCCAGACACCCCCTCCCCACCGATGTGTCCCCCCAAATACGTCTGATGCTAATGGCCACCGCGTTGTTCAAGCCAAGAGCCATTGTCAGCACTGGGGGCTAAGCCCCCCTAAAGATCATATTCTAGAATCGCCCCTGGTTGAGACTTTTTAATCTTTGCTCAAGACCATCTTTTTTCCCTGGCAGAGTTTGAGAACCAGTTAAAGCAGATTTTTCTTGTGTGTTGTATTTTATTATTAACTTTCTTGTGTTTCCTTAGCCACACAAGACATTTTCTTGTTCTTCTTTCTTGCTTTTATTTTAATTTGACTAAATTGTAAAGCACTTTGATCAGCTTGTGTTGTTTTTATGCACTATATAAATAAGTAGACATTGACATTAAATATGTTTAAAACTACAAATAAGTTTTTTCTGTCAATTCTTATTTTTTGAGGCCCTTCTCCTGGTTTGGGACCAGTAAAAGTGACACAAAACAGTCCCTCAAAGATGTTTTAGTGCGGTGGTTTATTTTAGACATGATCTTTTTTACGTTTATGTCCTGCCATGGATCAGACACCAGCAGTTTGCACAGACCTGATTAATTCAGGTTCTGGATGAGGTGGGGTGAGCATGTCCTGCTGGAGCGGGTCTGTCCGAGCTTTGGGACAGCACCACGGCATCACCCACTGCTGGATGGAAAGAACCAGACTTGCTTGCACTGCAGCCAAAGTTTCACAGCTTTCAAAGTCGCCAGATTGTCTCGCTTGTAGCTATTTTTTAAAATAATCACTAGACGGGATCTGGAAAACTTAACTAGCTAGCAGCTAATTTTAGCTTTAGATACTGCTTTTCTATTTCAGTTATTGTTTTGTATTTTAACTTTATCTGGTTAGCAAATTTTAGCTTTAGTAACTGATTCTCTTACTTTAGCAACTTTAGTTTATGTTAGTTATGGCTTTGTAAGTTTTAACTTCTGTAGTGTTTCCCATACCATTAACCAAGGAGGGCGCCCTGTCAACAGAACGATGTGCCTACACACATACTACTACAACTACTAGTACTACTACTACTACTACTACTACTACTACTACTATTACTACTATTTCTACTACTACTACTACTACTACTACTATTACTACTACTACTACTACTACTACTACTACTACTACCACCAGATGGGGAGAGAAGATTTTAGCAGTTCAGACCTAGCATTTGTACCGTAACGCTCTGCTACTGTTTGGCTAATTTTAGCTTTAGCAATTGGTTATCTACTTTTAGCTACTGTTTTGTAAGTTTTAACTTTAGCTTGTTTTCAGTTAATAACTTTAGCATCTGTTTCTGTTGCTTTTAGTTTTAGTTCTGTTCATTTTACCTTTTAAGAACTCAGTTTGAGCTTCTTCAGAAAGTTCTAGTTGTCATCACTTATATTTCTTTTTTTTATTTTTATTTTTTATTGTGACCGAAAGAACGAGATCTCGGATACAAGCGGCTGAAATGAGTTTTCTCCGCAGGGTGTCTGGGCTCTCCCTTAGAGACAGGGTGAGAAGCTTGGTCATCCGGGAGGGACTCAGAGTAGAGCTGCTGCTTCTCCACGTCAAGAGGAGCCAGTTGAGGTGGCTCGGGTATCTGGGTAGAGGCAGGTGTGTGCTTCACCTTTTTCCACACACATTTTGATGTTGTCAGTCTGAGTCAGACCAGCAACCTTCCGATCACAGGCTCACCTTCTCTAACCTCTGCGCCACCCCCCAAAAAAATTAAATCCATCCATCTATTTTCTTCTGCTTATCCGGGGTCAGGTCGCGGGGGTAGCAGCTAGGCCCAGACTTCCCTCTCCCCAGCGACTTGAGCCAGCTCCTCCGGGGGAATCCCGAGGTGTTCCCAGGCCAGCCGAGAAACGAGCTGATCTGAGCTGACCCGAACTTATCTGATCCGCACCATAACAGTAGAAAAGGGGCAATAGTCCCTCCAGGACTATTCATCCTACAGGTGTCCAGGAGGCATCCTAACCTTGCTTGCCCCACTCTGGACCCTTGAGCAAGGCCCTCAACCCCACCATCTGCTCCCCTGGATGCCCTAGATTTTTTATTTATTTAAACCTTTATTTTACCAGGAAAGAAATTCATTGAGATTATGAATCTCTTTTACAAGGATGTCTTGGGCAATGTGCAACGTTCAAACAACCCATTACATATAGCTAATAACAGTAACAGCATTAAAATATTTACAACAAAACATCTAGTAATAAGACGTAAAATACAATGCAAGTTTAAAAAATATCACAATTTAAGACACTTAAACATTACAGGTGCAAGATGTGACTAAAACCTCAAGATAGTTTTTGTTTAAAACCAGATATATAAATATAAACTTGTATAAATAAAGGTTGAATGAATGAATGAATAGGAATAAAAGACTCCAACCTCAACTTAAACTAGATCATTCCAAAACCATGGGTAAGACAAACTCATCTTTATGACTGTGCGCACAAAGGGTATCTTAAACCGCAGCCTGGCCCAGACTGTGGGTGTTCTAGAGTGAAATGAACTTGGATATATGATGGTAATTTTCTTAAAATGCTTTTGTATATGAGAATATACCAGTCATCTTTTGAATATTGAGTGAAGTAAGGATATATAAAGTACAGTGGTGAGTCCTAAAGGGTGAACCTATTATATATGTCAGAGCAGCAAATGGGCTCCAGTTTAGGAGGGAGGCAAATCTATAGATTGTCTCCGTAATCTAGCTGTGGTAAAAACAAACTTGTTACAAGCTGCTTACAGGAAGAAATGGAAAAACATTATTTCATTCTATACAAAAAACAGTAAATGTGAGCTTTTTATTAGAGCTGTAGTGTAGATGGCAGCTCCACAGAGCAGCTGGTCTGTGTCAGGAGGGGCTTCATGGGAGACCTGAAGAAGGGAGCAGCTAAAAGAAGGAAATAAAAACGTATATATTTTTATCATTGTCTTAATTACAGCTCTGTAATTAGTTTTTACTCTTGGATATAAAATATTAAAATAATTAAAAACACGTTTCTGTGTTGAAAACATTTATTGTTGGTCGTTTTTAATTGGCCCTTCACCAACAACGTACCCTGCTGTCGTCATCACGCAGTCGATGGGATGGGGTTACGTAGCCCACGGAGCAGTCCTCAAACCCCCGCCCCCCCTCCTCACTCGGATGCTGCAACCGAGCTCCCATGCTGCTCCTCCTCCTCTTCCTCCCCCTCCAAAGATGTCGCAGGAGCTTCAGTTCTTCTCCCAGCGACTTTAACAGTTGACGGAACCAGCAGCTGTCGGACTCACGGACCGGCCCGTGTCCCCTCCCAGCAGCGGAGGTGTCTAAATCCTCCCCCTCCCTCCCTCCATCCTCCTCCTCTCTCCCCCTCCCTCCTCAAACCACCGCAGAACTCCGCCGCCAGGTGACCGCGCCGGAGCGGGATCTTCATCAGCGCCGCCGTCCTTCATCCCTCCAGGCGACAGGAGCAGCCGCGTCCTCCTCCCTCACCCCGCGCCCTCTCCCCTCCACCCCCCCGCTGTATCCTCTCATCCGGTTCGGGACGTTCTCCGCTCTACGCACACGCAGATTAACGGGGGATTCTGCCTCCCCGCCCGCGCACTGATGCTGATGTCCTTGAGCTCGGCCTGCATGGTGAGTCCGCGCGTGCCTGCGTGCGTAACTCTTTTTTATCCCGGGCCCGTCTGTTAGCTGAGGGAGGCTGTGTGGGTCGGGGGGGTTCTGAGGGACTTGCAGAGAACGTGCACGGCCTAATGTTCTCCTCTCAGGCCCGAAACAGCCATCAGAACTGTCCACACACCAGCGCACGTTATGACAGTGTGAGGAAGAGTGTGTGTGCGTGTGCATGCGCGCGCGCATCCATCCCTCCGTGTCCTCTGTCAGTGCCAGCTAACATTTTCACTGAGGAGCACGCGCTGTTCTCCCCGTGCGTTTTACCTCCCGGTTGTTCCCGGGCATCAGTTGCGTCGGCGCACCTGCAGCGCTGATCCGAGCCGGGCCGGGCCGGGCTGAGCTGCGGGGGTGGCCGGAGGGACCTTGACGGGTCGCCGGGCAGCGCAGGGTGGGTGTGAGTCTGTCAGGGGGAGGCCCGCGGGCGCCGGGCCGGTAACCTTCAGGACACGGTGTCTCCACCGGCTCTTCATCTCTCGTGGCATTTTCAGAATGTCGGCTTTCATCGTGACTTCCTCTTGTTGCTGCTGGAGATGAGCTGAGGGCTGAAGCTCAGGCACGTCTGAAGGTGACCAGGAAAGGTCGTTTTATGTGTGACACCGTTGGGCCATTCCTGCACATAAATCAGAATGATGTGTTTGTGCTTTGGGTGGAGTTGTAGGAGGACACGGGACACTGAAGTGTGGCGGTGTCACTTGTTTCTGCATCATGACGGTGCTGCTTTAATGGGCTGCACAGTGATGCAGATATCCTCTCCCTGCCAGCAGCCCACCTTTAATGGCTTTATCCACTGGCTGTGTCGAATTCTGCCTGTGCTTTTCCCACTGGGCTTTACAGAAGCGTGTGAGTGGCGCCAAGCCAGCGGTGGCGTCCGCAGCCACACATGAAGGCCTGGCCAGAGGTGACCCTTCCAACATGCCAGAAGTCAGGACCGCAGGTGCACAGGTGGACCTCAGACCAGACTACACTAAATACTGATGTTGATGCGCTCAGGTGTGCTGCATGTTACGTGAACGCATCTCTGCGCACCAACTTGTTCAGTCACGTGCGCTCAGATGTGGATCTTTGTTGGCTCTGTTGCCTGATCCAGCGCACGGAGTCGCCAGCCTGCTGGCCTAGAATCAGATCCCTCGAGGAGCATCTCCTCTGCGTCTTCCCCATCTTTGTGCTGTTCTCAACGTCCTTGTTGCCGTGATAAAACAGAAACCTCCAGAGGGTGAAGAGCGGCCGCTTTCCATTAAAAAGGAAATAAAAATAACCAAATTACTCCAACCCTGAGGGACAGAACACGAACAAGCAGGGCCAGCATTCAGAAGGAATGGGCAGGCTGCTGACCTTTTGTCTGACTCTTTTCATGTTCAAACGCTCCCCCAGCCAGGACAGCAGCCCCCTCTCCTCCTTCTACCTCATTCTGAAAGTGCTTTGGTGTATGACACAGTTGTGTGTGTCATGGCAGAGATCATAAAATTCATGTCTCTGGGCAGGAGTGGTTGGGTCTTTGTGTGTGTTTCATTGGTGATGCTTCCTGTGGCTTTAGCTTTGTGAGCGTGAGGAATGCGTAACTAACTGAGTAATAGTTATTTTTGCCTTATATATAATGCACATGTACACGCATGCTTGTGCGTGCTGTTCCCGTCAAAGTTCTGAGACAAGCAGAACGACGGACTCGGAGTAGTTGGGAGGATGAGCAGAGCCCTTTTCTTTGCATGAGTCTTATAATATCAGACAGAATCGGTGAGTAAGAAATCAGGCTGGTAAGAAAAAGCACGACTGGCTGAGTAAATAAATTATTACAGTAACAGGAAACAGACGGGGAGACAAAAGGTGCTGAAAGAGGAGGGTCAAAAGGAGTGAAAATGAACAATCCTTAAATCTTAATGGATCATAGACGGAAGAGCAAGAAGTAAGAGAAGATGGAGAGCAAGCAGGAGCTTCAAAAGAAGCTGGAACCGGGTGACTCAGTCAGAAACAACTCTCAGAAAGCATGGCAGGGCCGAGAGGAGACGGGAGGGAGAAGATGCAAGAGGCAGGGGGAGCTGAGGGAGAGTTCAGAGGAGGGAGAAGAAAAGGAATTACTGATGAGCTTCTGCTTCTTTTCTCTTTCTTGCTCATCCTTACGTAAAATACCCTGACAGGGAAAAATCTGAATGCGCTGTGCCGTGTGTGATGCTGAGAATATTTACAGCTGATGCTAATTGCTCACGTGGGATGAAGCTTCATCGGAGCAGCTGAAGCTGCTGCTGAACCCGAGCACTATCAGTGTTAGGTTTATTTAACTCATTAGTTTCAGGGTTAGATTTATATGTAGGTTCAGATTAGGGGGAAGTGGTTTTCAGCAGCTTCAACAACACTTTGAGTTTCAATTCTTAGAAGACTCCTTTATTAAATAATCACACAATCAGTTCATGCGGACGTGGGTCAAATAAACGCTCATTTAAACGAGTGTAGCCTAAAGGAACAGGCGGAGAGCAGATTTTATTCCTCTTGATATCAACAAACAAGAAAACACATCTTTGTATTCTCTGTATTAGAACTTAAGTGTGTTGTGTACCGTAATGTAACATATTCTTTAATTATAACAAACTGCTTTACTGCTGAAAATCCTCAGTGGAGAAAAACAAAAACAGTCCGTATAAAGATAATGTTAGGAAGAAAAATGAGGATTTTGAAAACATGAACAGAGAAAGAAAGCCTGAAAAAATCGACCAGAATTCAGTTTTTATGGTGTTTATTCACCCAAAAAGGACTAAAGAAGTCAAATCTGTTGTAATGATTTAGAAGAGTTTTAAGCTCAACTTTAGATTTAAAAACTGTTTACTTCTTACATTTCAGATACTCTTGTTCCTCCTTCAAGGCGAGGGCCACGGAGGAGGAATGAGATCGCTGCAGTTTGTTTTAGGAGGTTTGGACAAAAGTTTCATGAAAGTTGGTGCACGCAGACAAATAAACTTTTACATTTGAGCCGCACGCTTCAGAGGAACTCTCCAAGAGATTTGGTTTGATTTTTGGAGCTCTTCAAATAAATCTCGTTTCTGATTTAAATGTGCTCATTACAAATTATGAAATCAAACGAAAATATTTATCCGGAACTATATATATCAAATGGAGCCGTTTGAAACCATTCAGTTGTTTTCCAGATATGTTGATGGGAAATTCTGAAATGCAGGCGTTCACTCAGTTTAAATAAAACACTTTTATTTGCACACTTTTCTCAGTAAATGTGAAAATTATAAGATTTCCCCATCCCTAAGGTGTCTTGTCGCCATTGTTGACCCTTTTTCAGCCATTTTGGCTGTTTCTGTAGATGAACAAAGGAGCTTAAGTGGCATCAGGTCACAAATTTTGCTTACAAATTTTCTAATTTAAGAAAAAATTAATAATATGAGTACAAAAAAATGTGGGGATTTTGTTTCTTTATAATCGAGCCATTTACACGTTTCTTCGTTTTTGTGTGGTGGGGGTCACTGATGCCCGGTCTTCATGACCTTTCAATGTGTAGCTCTAAAGTGGTTGTGGACAGGGTTTTATGTTTAAAAATGTTTAAAAAATATTTAAAATTTAAACAGTTTGCATTTGTCACTTTTTAAATTATACTGCCTTTGTCCGCTCTTATTCTTAACAGAAGTTTTTTTTATTTATTTCTTTCAGAAGTTGAAACTATAGTCTTGTTATTTAAAAAAAACAGTGGAGCATTTTTGCCAGAACCTGGACTGAATATTGAACTTCTGCTTCTCTGTATCAATTTATAGTTTTATTTAGAATATAATATGTCAGTATTGTGTTTACATATTTGTAGTGCAAAAACAAATCAATGAATTCAGGTTGAAATATCACATGTGTAATTTTGCTTCAGGGCTATAAAAACATATTTGTGTGAAATTTCTAACATATTTAGATTAGGTCGCCTTTTTGTTTTTAATGTCTTTATTGAACCCTGCTTCACGTTCCTCCTAAATATAATTTTATTAAATATGTTTTTTTACGTCATTTCTGTATGCCTTATTTTGTCTTTAAACATTGTTTTCAAAGTTACGTTATTCTTACAAAACTATAGTTTTATTTTTGTTATTTGGGGCTTTTTTTTTTTGTTTTGCTTTTGATCGGTAAAACATTTTGAAATGCGTCTCTGCTACATAAATAAAGTTGAGTGAGATCGATAGAACAGAGCGGTAATGGTTCTGTCTCTCTCCTAGGTCCTGGTGGTGCCGCAGTAGCTACCTCTGAACTGGATCTGGATCTGCTTCCTGTCTGCGATTTATCAGCCGCCTTTGCCCCTCTCTCCTCTTTCCATCCGTCCATCATCGAGCTCCTTATTCCCGTCGGCACGTCCGTTAGCCTGTCCGTCCATGGACTGGCCGTGACCCTGGAGGGAGGGGGACAGACGCGAGGAAAGAGTGGAGTCACAGAGGAGACGGGGAGGGGGGGAAGAAAGCTGGATACATTCAGACCTCTCGCTTCTGAAGTGATCCTGTTCGCTGCCCTTCATCCTCCTCACCCTCCTTCCCTGCCTCCCTCTGTTATGGAGATTTAAAGGCGCAGTGGGAGGTTAGGCCAAAATAGCAAAGAGAAGAAAAAAAACTGTTGCCCCTTCATTGCCCTTAAAAAGGAGTCTGGATGCATAATTTCCATCACATTTTTAGATAAAAAATTAAGAGCACATGAACAACCCTTCACCTACCAAACGAAGGAGGACCTGAGCAGACTACAGAAAGAAAGGAGGACCAAAAGAGAAGAGTAAGAAACTTCCTGAAATGTCAACGACCGCGACGATGGGTGAAATGGCAAACAGCGCTGTGGAGTTTTATCCCAAAGGGACTCGGGGCAGGGGTGGAGGAGGAGGAAGGGCAGATGGCAGCATTTCATTGGGAGACTTTGGGGTCACGGTGAAGGAGCTCAGGGAGCTGATGGAGCTCCGAGGTGCTGACGCCCTACAGAAGATCCAAGACAGCTACAGAGACACAGAAGGCCTCTGTCAGAGACTACAGTCCAGCACCACTGATGGTGAGCATGCATGGGGTTTACAAATGGCTGGGTTAAATAGAAAGTGAGGGTGAATGAATGAATAAGAAACCTAGTTAGATGATTTAGTGAGTGAACAGATGGATGAGCACATGCATGAATGGCTTGCTGCATGGGTGGTTTTGTGCTGAATGACAGCACGGAAGGATGGAGGGGCTTTTACTTTGAGCTGGAGCCGCACATGTACACCACTGCTACAACTGTGTCCAAGTAATCTAATCTCTGGTATCATCGTTTGGCTCAAATAAATGGCACAGATTGAAAACAGACTGAAAATGGCCAATAATGTCATTTTAGAAGGCAGTGTTTGGTTGAGTTGCATGGATGGATGGACTGATTGATGAGTGGATGATGAGATTATGGCGGGTGAATGACCGGAAAGCTGATAGAAAAAAAATCGTAAACTGGTGAATAAAATAAAAGTGCGTTACTGGAGGACTAACAAAACATTGTGCGTGGAACAAGAACGGGTGCATTACTTCAATTTCTAGAGTGTTCTGAGTTAGATGAAGGTGGGATCGAGGTGGACAGGGCTGTACAAATGACCAGGCTCAGCAGGTTAACATCTACAGTAGACCAGCCGAAGAAAGACCACAGCATCTCTGGCATATGCAAAGCCTTCACACAACTTCATTTCTGCAGGAACACACTTTTATCTGATTTGTTTTAATGATGGAGGAGGATTTATACCGGTAGTTTTGATTTACAACCCTAGTTGGTAAAAGTTATGATAGTGTAAAATATAAATAAATAAAGGTTGAATGAATTTGGTTTCAATAGTTTATTTATAAAGCACCAAGTCACAACAAAAGTTGTCTCAGAACACTGTACAAAAACATTCACATAAATAAACAGCTAATTAATAAAAGTTCTCTAGCTAAGGAAACAGCAGTTGTGTTGAATCTTCACTTCATCACAGTCTCCCATCCTGAGCGAACACAAAGGAGACAGTGGAAAGAAAAAACTCCCTTTTAACAGGAAGAAACCTCAAACAGAACCAGGCTCAGGACGAGCGGCCCGTCTGCTTTGACTGGCTGGGTTTGAGAGGAACAGGAAGTAGAAACAGACACAGGCATGACAGGTCCAGGTGAAGTTTCAATAGGAGGAAAGACAAAAACACGTTAAGATAGAAATAATTACAAATACAAACAGGTAGAGTACAGCAAGTAAAGACAGCAGCAGAGAGAGGACATGAGGTCAGGTTGTCCTCCAGCAGTCTAAGCCTATAGCAGAATAACTAAGGGATAGCTCAAGAAACCCAAGCCAACACTAACTGTAGGATTTATCAAAACGGAAAGACTTAAGTCTAATCTTAAAAGTAGAAAATGTGTCAGCCTCACAGACAGAAACTGGAAGTTGGTTCCACAAGAGAGGAGCCTGAAAACTGGAAGATCTTCCTCCCATTCTACTTTTGGAAACTCTTAAGAACCAAAAGTAAACCTGCAGTCTGAAGCAAAGTAAATAAAAAGAGATTTCAATTATTTACAAACGTCAGTAACTCATGCCTTATTTACAATTTAACATAGTAAACCTATCAAATGTTAAGTGTACCTTTTTTAACAAGATAGTTTAGATTTCATGGTAAAAACATGCCTCCAACAGGTTGGCATGGGGCAACAAGAGGTTTTGAAAGTAAGTAGTTGGAAAAATAATAATAACTGGAGGAGCATTTTGTAGCAAATTAGATTAAATAACGTCAGGACTGGCCTGGGTATAAAAATAAAATTTTAGGGAAGCTGAAACTCAGAAATAAAGATGGGCAGAGGTTCACCAGCTAAAGCTTAATAAAAATGGACGAGTCAAAATGAACTGTTGTATGAAAACTGACAAATTCACTTGAGAAATGTCACATGGGTGTTTTCAGCACAGTTTAAAAGCTTGCCTCTCTTATGGTGTAGAGGTGCCTCTGGCATGGACAGCTTATACATCTGGAAATGAACCATCAATGCAAAAAAGTGTGTACAGGTTTTATAACATCTGCTCCCGACTGGCAAAAAAAAAAAATCCATCAAGGTAGATCCAGGCCTGTTGAACAGCTGGAGTCCTCCATCAGGCCAGAATGGAACATCGTTCCCTACAAAAACTCCAACGACTGGTCTCCTCAGGTCCTAGACGTTTACAGACTGTTATTAAAAGAAGAGGAGATGCATCACAGAGGAAACATGGATATGGAACAACTTCATGCTGCCATATAATTAGAAACTACCCCCCCCCCCCCCCCAAAAAACAAAAACAAAACAAAACAACAACAAGCAACAAAAAAACATATGCTTGCTATGTTTCACTGCCAATAAAATATGGGTTTATGGATTTTCTGAGTTGTACAATCAACATTGCTTACTGATATCTTTAGTCTTAAAATGTAACATTGCTGCGGTAAATAAACTTATCTTTAAAGTTTATTTCTTGTTGAAAATTTAAAGTCTCGATTAACTCAAAAACAATTACAGTCCATCTTGCAGCATATTGCAGCTACAGTATATACCAAAGTATGGCCTAGCTATACATCAATGTGATTGTCAGGCATATGAAGAGGCAAACTGTCATTTAAACTGGCGGTCATTCAACAGGGTAGGAACGTAGACCAACCGGTAAACAGTGAGCAATACTGCAGACGCTGCACCACTTTGACTGTTGATCTCACGCTCCATTCTTCTCTCACTCATGAACAAAACCCAAAGATACTTGAACTCCTCCACTTCAGGCAGAACATCAATCCCTACCTGGCGAGGGCAATTCACCCTTTTCTGACTGAGGACCATGGCCTCGGATTTGGAGGTGCTGATCCTCATCTGAGCAGTTTCACACTCGGCTGTGAACCGCTCCAGTGAAAGCTGAAGATCATGGCACAATGATGCCAACAGGACCACATCATCTGCAAAGAGCACAGATGGAATCCTGAGGCCATCGAACTGGACTCCCTCCACCCCCTGGCTGCACCGAGAAGTTCTGTCCATGAAAGTTACAAACAGAATGGGTGACAACGGGCAGCCCTGTTGGAGTCTAACTTCTACCATGAAGGGGTCCAACTTACTGCCGGCAACGCGAACCAAACTCTTGCACCGCTTGTAAATGGCCCGTGGAAACAGGTCCCCAATCCCATACTTGCCAAGCAGCCCCCACATTGTACCTCAAGGAACATGGTCGAATGATGAATTTGTAATAATGGTGACAGCAACGACTCAACAAACTTCAGCCTCCAAAATTCCCATCCTCACCTAGGGCCACAAAATCTGTGTAGTGACCGAAAGACCGAGATTATGAATACAGGCGGTTGAAATGTTTTCTCCACAGGGTAGCTGGAGTCTTTTTTTAGAGATAGGGTGAGAAGCTCAGTTACCTGGAAGAGATTCGGAGTAGAGCCACTTCTCCTCCACATCAAAAGGAGCTAGTTGAGGTGGTTCACGTATCTTTTTCATTCAACCTTTATTTAGACAGGTAAATCCCATTGAGCCTAGAGGACTCATTTACAAGAGAGACCTGAAAATCTAGTAAGGATGCCTCCTGGACGCCTCCCTAAGGAGGTGCTCTGGGCATGTGGAAGACCCTGGGCACGCTGTAGAGACTATGTTGTCCTGGGTAATGCCTTGGGGTCCTCCCAGAAGAGCTGGAAGAGGTGGCTGTGCAAAGAGATTTCTGGGCCTTCCTGCTCAAGCTGCTGCCCCCACGACCCGACTTTGGAAAAAGCAGAAGATAATGGACGGATCATGTAATCATAATCTATTCAGATTACCTATTTACCTAATTGTCCTATTCATTTGTGTAAAAATACAGTGAAATTGACTGTGAAATAATTCTTTTTAGTCAATTTTTACATTTTAAATTGACCAACTCATCCATACGTAATGGCTGTTTAATGACTTCTCTTGGTGCACCTCTGCTTTAATCTGGAGTTCAGATGTGTAGAGATTTACTGACACAAACTATTTATCTTGAAGCTTTATGCCTTCTGTTGGACCAACCACATTTCAGTGAGCGTATATTGACGTTTACGTCATGGATTTAGTTGTAAAGCCAGACGCTACATCACTCCTGTGTCCACATTTTGATTTTAAATCGAAGAACCTAACTACAGTGCCCAGTTTATCAAACCCACTGTTTTTGTTTTCAGTAACTGAGTTTTTTGTGGTTATATTTGCTGTGTGTCAGTTCGTGCATTCAAGGGCCAAAAGGTTAAAAAGATCGAGAACTATGGATTTGGTTTTCAAAAGTGAGTATTTCTTTATATTTCACCTAAAGGAGCAAGACTTTTAAATAATCTTTTAAAGCGGTCTTGATCAGTAGTTCTCGGGGATTTCTGAAGGTCATTTAGAGTTTTTCTTTGGACATTTGCTGTTTTGCCGCTTATTTTCTCTTCAGTAATTGACCGTTTTCAGAGGAACGTTTGTTAAGCCACTTAACTCTGGCCTATAAATCCTTCAGACATAAAAAGGCTTTCAATCTCAGCGGATGAACCAGAGTAGTTTTAAATGGGATCTAAAACTCAGTTTGACAAACATAAAATAATGTGTTAGCGCCAATGAGGTGATTTCCAAAGAGCTATTGAAAACTTTGCAAGATGAATTGAAGGATGATACAGTTCTCAGGTCCTGGGTCATGTCTTTGGTGGTTTTATTTTTTTGTACTTCTTTAAGACACAATTTTCAGATATTGTGCCATTTGTTCAGATAAGCAAAGGCTGTTAATGTCTAAAGTAAATAAAAAAGGATCTTCAGAAGATGCTTAATCAGAACTGTTGTTCAAGACCAAAATAAAAGTTTACAAACCAGTTTGACTTATTGGAAGCCAATTAAGTTAAAATTAAAAGCAAAATAACTAGTTTAAAGTTTTTGTACACCACTTTAAATACATTTTCTTTGGGCTTTTAGGATTGTGCATTTCTGGTTTGTGGCCGATACGATATGCATCTTGATACAAAGCCAACAATATGATTCATAAAGGTACTTGGGCTGCAGTAACTAATATAGTGTGAAATTATTTAATTACAAAACAATGTGACTCAGCATTTCTTTATGGGATGTGATTGAAAACGAGTTTGATTTAACACATTCAGTTTCAGTGCGTTATATAATACAACAAAGCAAGAGATGGGTCTCAAATCAGTTATTGACACTAATTATTTACTACCCAATGAAGAATAGCTACTTACAAACGTGTCTTATTTTTAAATTACAAAACACTATCAAAAAACCCAAATCACATTGTAAGAAATAGCCTAATACACAAAAATGAGCCTTAGTGCTAAATCTGTAAACCTGCCAGTAGCAGATGTGTTTAAAACAGTAATTCTGCAGTGAGTGAGCAGCAAAATGTCTCTTTTATGTTAAAAATAATAAAACATGAGTGGCCTGTCGCAATAAACAATAAATCAATTAATCGCATGATAAATGAAAATTGGCAGCACGGTGGCGCAACTGGTAGAGCTGCTGCCTCTCAGCAAGCAGGTCTCTGGTTCAAATCCCGGTCCGGGGACCTTTCTGGGTGGAGTTTGCATGTTCTCTCCGTGCATGCGTGGGTTTTCTCCGGGTGCTCCGGTTTCCTCCCACAGACCAAAAACATGCATGTTAGGCTGATTGGTAACTCTAAATTGTCCCTAGGTGTGAGTGAGAGAATGAATGATTGTTTGTCTCTGTGTGGCCCTGTGATGGACTTGCGACCCGTCCAGGGTGTACCCCGCCCCTCGCACAGTGATTGCTGGACATGGGCATCGGCGACCCCCGTGACCCAAAATGGAACAAACGGGTAAAGATAATGGATGGACGGATAAATGAAAATTATCGACCTCATTTTCATTTATCGACTTTATTGTTTCTTCGTGTCTCTCTCTTTCTACTGAAGACACTGGATGACAAAAGGTTCAACTCTGGTTCTCGTCACTGACACCCCCCCCCCTTCTCTTTTCTCTTTAAAATCTGTTTTAACTGTCAAAAATCACGTTTTTGGATCGTTAAATGCAGCTAAGCTGAGAAGCTAAGCTACGAGCTAAGCTAGCAGGCCGACCTCGGGAAAAACCTCCGTCTTATCGAAGCTCCAAAATTCACAGTTGAAACCCGTGCCTTCATGCAAAAAGTTGTTTTTCTCTGCAAAAAGAAATTGAGAACTTGTTAATGTTTTTTTTTTATTAAAAGCTTTGTGTGAAATATGCTATGCTAAAAAGCTCAAACCTCATCAAGCGTCCACGATTTTGAGAACCGAATAAAGGAAGACAGCCCCTGTCAAGTCAAGGGGCCTCCCTCCCATTTTTCTTAAAGAGACGTGCTGCTCGCTCCCTCACTATCCATCCTTCGGTTCAAACAGTCTTATACTGCCTCCGGTGGTCGAAAAGGTACTACATGCAAAACAAATTAACCAACATTTCTTTTTAGATTTGACAATAATTACTTAATTATTGTCAGATTTCAAACAATATTATCGTTTATCTCAATAATGTCTAAGAGAATATTAATCGCCCAGCAAAATTTGCTATCGTGACAGACCTATGAGTTAACTGTTTTAGCTTGAAGCACATTTTTAGTGTTTGTTGCTGTTTACGCCGGTGCTGCTGAAGTTCTCCTGAACTGCAGGTGTGGCTAAAGAGAAAAACAGGAAGTGCGGCCAATCGAAGAACCGCCCGCTCTAGGAAACACAGATAAGGAGTTTGTTCTCTGATGGCTGTGTAGGAACAAACCTGCTGCTAACTTTAAATTATTAAACATATCAGATTTTATTGGTATAAAGACCTAAGAAACTGATACATCTAGATTTAATCCCAAAACTGCATTGGCGCACGGCTGCTCTTCAGATGTAGTCACATCTGCTTATCGATACAAATCTGTTAATTTTTACATCCCTAGTTTTCAGCAATCGATCAGAGAAAAATACACCTATCACAGATTTATGACAATTTATTGAGCAGTTATCAGTTGTTTATATACACATCAATAAATGATTAGTAGCAGAGCTGAAAGTAACACAGACAAACGTTTCTAATCAATCACACATTTTAATACGATCACACCGTTCAAAGCTTTTTAATGATTTGTCGAGGTTGAATTTGTAGTCCTTTAGTATGTTTAGTCTGATTATGTGCTGGACTTGTGCACACTGAGATGTTCCTCCAACAGGGGTGTGGTACCACGCTACGCCCACTCCTTCAACTTGTTTGTAACCTAGCAACACAACAGCAGCGAGAAGTTGGCTCCGAAAGAAGGATGACTGAGAACTGTGAGATGGAGAGAAAAGAGAGGGTGAATGAGGGGAAGAGTTTTCAACTATTGGCCAAGTCTATGAGGAAAAGTGTGAGTGCTGGTGTTGAGTTGCAGTACGTCTGTGTTGAGTGTTGCTAATTTGATACTGTGAGCTGGTCAGGAGTCGGTGCAGCAGGTCGCAACAAACCAACACAAACACACACAGCCTTGTGCGTCTGCAGATGTCCGTTTGAACCAGAGTTGGCACACGAATGGTGCTCTCAGATAACTCGGAGCGTCGTCTTTTGCTCTGTGCTGATTCACAAATCACACATGGTGTCATGTGACGTGACAAAGCAGCAAACGCAGATCAGAACGTCGCTCCGAGCCCACTGCTCGAAAACTGTCTGCTCAAAGTTGCTGCTCATAAGTCAGAGATCAGGACTTGTTTTCTGCTTGAGAGTTGAGGCGATCGGCAACAAAAGCTGCAGCCTGTTCTTCGTGTTAGCACAATGAAACTGATCACGAGGCTGGAAATAGCAAACCAGGTGGTGAAATATGGATGTACACAACACCACACGTGAACATGTTATGATGCAGTCGGCACTGAACATCGTCTGTGATGTGATACGCCGAGCAGGATGGGGTCTTAGCCATTACACATTCTCTGGCTCATAGACGCTCCAGCACTGCAGTGTGAACCCATTATATCCACGTCTTAAAGGCAGAACAGAGCAGGAACAGAAATGTGAACGAGAGAGCCAAAGACTGTATGTGTTGGGGGAGAGAGAAAGCCGAGGGGTGAGGAGGGAGAGCTCAAACGGCTTGCCGCATTGTCAAGGACACATCAAGGGGAGATTGAGGGAGAGGGAGAAAAAGAGGAGGAGGGCTGTGGAAGAGGACGAGGAGGAAGGAAAGAAAAGAGGGGAGGAGGCTAATGAAAAGAGGAAACAGCTCTGTGTGATTACTCAGCATTAAGGTCACCTGTTTTCTGTCTGCTTCGCCTTGGCCTGAACCCTGTTGATCCTCTGCATCGCTGCGAGCCACACATGACTCCCTGCAGCAAGCAGGTTTGGACCAGGACGCAAAGACAGGCGTCGGCTTCAGCCAACCGCAGCATGCAGATTTCATCCCCCTGATGCTGGCAGCCAATCAAAAAAAAATTAAAAATAAAAAATTTAAGAAAAGCTCTGCTCAAAATCTACCACAGTGGAGGGTTGACATCACCTGTTGCTGGGCAGAAACCTGTTAGACACCGGAAGCTCTGGACCTGATATCCTGGTCACCATGGAAACTGGTGAGGCTGAAGGGATGCAGGAGACAGATTTTAAAGGGAGAACGGAAACTTTTAACAAACTTTAAAAATATTATTGTTTATATCAACATGGTGTTTATTTCACCCTCGATGTTCTTAAAGGGGAAAATAAAACAACTGCAAGTAAATCAATGAAAAGAAAACGATTCGTCAAGTAAAATTTACATTGTTCTTTAACATCTCCAAGTGAAACTTTAGAATAAAGTAGACCTCTGTTTTTTATCATTTGGTAGGTTTGAGAGGTGCCTGTTTGTTCTGGCAGAGCCATGCTTTAAAAATAAACACTTGTTGCATCTTTGAACAGTCAGATCATATTTAGTCAGTTTACAGTTTATTTCTTACGCAAAGAAAGGAGACAAACCATCATGTTTGGCTCAGTGATGGAACCAAAATTCAAAAAGTAAAAAAAATAAATTAACTAATTTATTTACTCAACAACAAAGAGCTGACATGTCAGCAGATATACTAGTAAACAATAACAACAAAAACACTAGAAAACTCTAAAAGCTGTTGAGGACTCCAAGGGAAAAAGCATAAATGTGTGTAAAAGCAAAATGCACGGATCCAAAGGAGAAAAATGACTGGTTTTAAAAGGAAACTAACGAGGGAGAACGGACAACACGTGGGGAGAGACGATGAGGATGAGGTGAGAGTGGGACGAGCAGACGTTGAACTACACGAGGGAAAAGATGCTGGAGAAACAAAACCACAGAAAACGAAATAAATAACAACTAGACTGACTGTGACACTAACGTGATAATTACTTAATAATGTAAACCTGGAACCTTTCAGATAATCTGTGAATCGTGAAAATTTCACTGACTTATTTAAAACCGATAGAACAGACTCCTGCTGTGAATGTGTGTGTTAACAAGTGTATTTTGTTTTTCTCACTTTTGGCATTTCACTTAGAATTTTTTTAATTTCCTCCCTGCTCCAAATAAACAACTTATCGTCTGATCTTTCAGGTCTCAGTGGCGACCCAACAGACCTGGAGCGCCGATGCCAAACTTTTGGCTGCAATTTTATCCCTCCGAAGAAGCCCAAGACCTTCCTGGAACTAGTGTGGGAGGCTTTGCAGGACGTCACCCTCATCATCCTGGAGGTCGCCGCCATCATTTCACTTGGCCTCTCTTTTTACCAGCCTCCTGGGAAGGAAAGCGAAGGTAAGGATGCAGGCAGAGGGTGCTGGGTGCAGCTGGTTTGATGGGATGTTGGGAGCAGTAAAGGTGGGAAATGGAGGGAATTTTTAGCGGAGATATTAAAGCCTGTTTTATATAAAAGGCTTTTACAGTTTGCTTAAAGTTTTTAGATGGGAGAACAACTCATAAATGCTGCACAGAATGACATTTGATATTGTAAATTAAATTCTTCTGCAGCAAGAATTTTCTGAGAAAATAGTTAATAGTTATTGACTGGGTGGTGGGAGTCAGCTATACGCAGCTGGAAGGAAAGTGTGAGCAGCCAGCTGCCGTGCAAAGTGGTCAAAAAGATCCATCGTGTCCCTATTTATTCACAGTGGCAGTTTGAGAGGCTCCACGTGAGACACTTCAGTTGGTAAATGTGTTTTATTAAAAGGAAAAATAAAGTGTGGCCACTTTTGAAACCCCAAGATCAGCACTCACAGACAATTGACCTCGTTGGTTCAGAGAACTGAAGCATTTTTTTTCCATGTCATAGTAAAAAAAAAATCAATAAAACTCAAATGCCATTGATATTCGTTCAATTTTAAATCAAACATAAAAAGTAAAGTAGTTTTCCAATATCGGTAGACATTAAAACAAAACGAGAGGGTAAAAATCAGGCAGTATTTTTTGTTTTTTCATTATATGTGATTTCATTTTTTCAACTTTAAATAATACAGAACAAAGAAGAATGTATTATTAAATAATAATGTTTTTATTTTTGAAAGATATTATTGATTATTTTGGTGATCAAAACAAGAGCAAATGAAAAAGGACAAATAAAAATAAGACAATTTGCTTTGTATTCATTCAGCATCATCACCACAGTTAAACAGTTTTAACCTGGTGAATGAAATCGCTGCTCGAGACTTTGTAGACATTTTATTTTGATAGGGAGGACTGAATAGGGCAGTATTTTCCACAATAAATAATTAATGCTTCTCAGAAAAACAATTATCAGTACATGTGACCGTGAGTTTATAAAGGCAGCTTAATGACGCCACATCAAAAGACAAGTGTTCCTTCTTTGTTTCATCTGGTTTAATTTTTAATGTAGGCTGAGAACAGAGTGTCACACTGCATGCTTTCAGCCATGCACAAATAAAATGCAGGGAAGTATTTTTTTTAATTGTCATAAAGGACATAAAAATATAACCAGCAGGGCTGCTTTTGGGGACGGGAGTTAAAATGTCCTTTTTGATTTTTATTCTATAAACAAATCTTTCTCATTGGCTGTCCATGGAGTTTATAAACACTTGCTCAGTGCCGTGCATCAGTTTTCTTTATTTGTTTCCAAGCAGAAAGACTCTCTTGTTATAGTTTTTGTAAAATTGGTCTTTAGGAATGTTCTGAAGGCCTTTGGGGTTTCTGTTTGGACATGGTTGCTTTTTAAAGGTACTACTCATTGCAAACTATGAAATCATACAAAAAGGTTATCTTGAACTATATGAAACGTTGCTGTTTGAAAGAGTTTACACAAGTAGTTTTTCAGATTTATTGACATACGATTCTGAAATTTTCTTCACGAGCGAGGGAAGAATGGATCGTGAAGTTGACAGACAAATCGGTGCAGCTTCAGCAGTATTGCAGACTCTGTGCCGGTCCGTTCTGGTGAAGATGGAGCTGAACTGCAAGGAGAAGCTTTCTGTTTACCGATTGGTCTACAGTCCTAAACTCACCTATGGTCAAGAAGTTTAGGTAGTGACTGAAATAATGAGATCACAGATCCAGGTGGTCAAAATGAGTTTATTTTGCAGCGTAGCTGGGCTGTCCCTTAAAGATGGGGTGTGAAGTTTAGTTATCAAAGAGAAACTCTGAATATAGCCGCTGCTCCTCTACATCCAGAGGAGCCAGCTGAGGTGGTTCAGACATCTGGTACAGATGCCCCCTGGATGCCTCCTTAGGGAGGTGTTCCAGGCATGTCCATCTGGGAGGAGACCTTGGGTAAGACCCAGGACACGCTGGAGAGACTGTGTCTCTCAGCTGTCCTGGAAACACCTTGGAAGGGGCCTCCCTGCTCAATCTGCTGCCCTCGAGACCTGACTGCTGAAAAAGCAGGAGAAAATGGGCGGGCTTGATGAAAACTTTTGCACAATTCAAAATCCAACAATGAGCCAGGACAAAACAAACAAACTTGGAAAACAAGGCAGGGGAAAGAACAAAAACACCTGTAAACGTTCAACGAAAAGTCAAAACCAATGTAAAGGAAATAAATCCAACAGAAGAAACAAGCTGTTAATGGAGCTGATGATGCTCCAGCAGCGTTCAGTGAACGTCGGGATGTTTGGTGTGAAAACGTGTAAAAAGTGTCACTTGTAGTCTCCCATTGTGACTTGGCAGCCCTATGCAAATTCACAAACAACACGTTAATAAACATATTCTTCAGATCAATTTCAAACCATTTCTGTAGTTTACAGAGAACAGTTCTCCTCCTGATGGTCCAATTACAGCTAATTTAAATTTTAATCACAATTTATCGGAGTCAGGTATCGATTTTATGTCTCAAAAAACACTTTGTTGAGTTTTGGTTCAACAAATTAGCTTTATAAATGGAAAATGGTAAACTCCTGTCCCCTTGGTTCACGTGATCTTAACTTTCACTATGATTTTATGGAAATAACAAGAAAACTAAAAATGAAAACAAAAGCATAAAGGAAAAGAGCAAAGGTTTTTCCCCATGAAGTGTCCTGATAGACAGGATGTCGTCTGAGAAAATATTGAGCAGTGCGATAAAATCAGTGACTGTCAAATGTTTTATTTCTCTGAGCTTTGAACTGAACAAGGTTATTTTTCAAAGGTTTCTCAAGCACTGATCACCATCGGATTGTTTGTACGAGTGAATTTCTGCTTTAAACGGATCTGAGAGACTTTTAGGACAAACCTTCTTGTCTTCATTCAGAGTCTGTTTCAGCCACAGAGTGTCCAATCGCTTCATGGAGCTTTAAGGAGGAGATGTGAAACAACAAGCTACAGAAAGCCCTTCAGCCACTTTAATTTTACCTCTGATAAATATTTGCACAAATAAATATCAGAATCACAGCATACACACCATCTTTAACCTACAGGATTATTAGTTTTATCAGAAAGAACCCTAATTATAAACCCTAATTAACCCTAATTTATACCAATAAAAAGTTTAAAGTAGTAAAGGCCTGCCTAAATAGTAAAAGTAGCTAAAGGTCAGCTAAAAGTAGCAAAGACTATATTAAAAGCGGCAAAACGTTAACTAAAGCTACTGTAATGTAGTGCAAGGTAGACCAGCAGCTAAAAGGAGCAAAAAGCTTGCTAAATATTACTCTGTAACAAATGGCAAGCTTGAAGCTAACAGTAGCAAAAAGCTGGCTAGAAGATAAAAATAGCAAATGGCTGGCTACAAATTGTAAATGTAGCAAAAGGCTAGCTATATGCTCAAAATAGCAACAAGCTAGCTAAAAGCTAAAGTAGTAATAGGGTAAGTAAAAGCTAAATCTTGCAATAGGCTTGTTAGATTTTAAAGAAGTGAAAGGCTTGCTAAAAGATACTTTAAATGAAACAAAAGGCTGGGTAGAAGCTAAAAGTTCCAAAAGGCTAGCTAAAAGTAGCAAAATGATCGAAGCTTAAAGTAGCAATGTGCTACGTAAAAGCTAAAAGTAGCAGAATGGTAGTTTAAAAACTAAAAGTCACATAAGAAGACAGAAATAGAGCAAAATGCACAAAGAGAAGAATGTTTTGAAAAGTGAACTACGGTAGTTCATTTTGGTAACTTAACACAAATTCTGTCAGTTTGAGTCTGAACTTCAGCTACACGACTTATGTAAATCTTCGATTGAATCTGTTTCATTTCTCCAGCGTGCGGGAATGTGAGCGCGGGAGCAGAGGATGAAGGGGAGGCCGATGCCGGCTGGATCGAGGGCGCCGCCATCTTGCTATCTGTCGTGTGTGTCGTCCTGGTGACGGCGTTCAACGACTGGTCCAAAGAAAAACAGTTCCGGGGTCTGCAGAGTCGAATCGAGCAGGAGCAGAAGTTCACTGTGGTGCGGAAAGGCAACGTCATTCAGATCCCCGTGGCTGACATGGTGGTGGGAGACATGGCTCAGGTCAAATACGGTAATTAATGACATACTCACACAAACCGTGACTGCATTTATCATTTCTTCTACTTTAAATAAAAATGATAAAAAGTATATTACATGATTTTATATGAAAAATCTTATAGATAAGGTTTAAAATGTAAGAAAGTTAGTCTTAGTTATTATTCTGGTTTAATAAATATGACAATTACTGGTAGCTCCCACTGTTTTTTGGCTCCTTTTGATACTTTTATTTAAAATAAATTCACATTTTGAATTAATTGTTCATCACTTTTACATTTAATTTGTGTTAACTTTCATTTTTTAGGACATTGACTTGCGTAAAAAAAAAAAGAAATAAAAAGAAACTAGAGAAATTGCATTTCCAGCGAAAATGCAGTGTGGATGCTTATTGCTGAAGAACTTGCTGAAAAACAGCTGAAATTAGCTAAAAACATGCTGAAATGTGTCTGCAATTGAAGAACAAGCCTAAGTTAGCAAAAGAAAGCAAAAAGAACACAGTTGCTGAGTTAGGTTTAAATAAGCAGAAATGAGCACAAAAAATAGGAAATTAATTAAAACAGCTGAATCTAGCAAAAAAGAAAAAATAGCTGAAAAGTAGCTGAAAAAACAGAAAGAAGCTTAAAATATGAAAAGGAAGTAAAAGTAGCTAAACCAGCCACTAGGTAGCACAAGCCAGTGTATCTCTTGTTCCAGTCCTAAACCCAGGTAAATGGTGAGGGTTGTGTCAGGAAGGACATCTGACGTAAAACACTTTTGCCAAAACTATAATGCGAGTTCATCGAAGTGAAACCATACCGGATCGGTCGAGGCCCGGGTTAACAACGACCACCACCAGTGCTGTTGACAAACAGGGTGCCGGTGGAAATTGTTCTACTGTTTGTCAAAGACCACGAGGAGGGAAACGTGTCAGGAGTCAGAGGGAGGAGAGGAAAGTCAAGAATGCAGGACTGAGGGTTGCAAATGTGGGGACAATGACAGGCAAAGGTAGAGAGCTGGCTGACATGATGCAGAGAAGGAAGGTAGATGTTTTATGTGTCCAAGAGACCAAGTGGAAGGGCAGCAAGGCTCGCAGCATTGGAGCAGGGTTCAAACTGTTTTACCATGGTGGGGATAGAAAGAGAAATGGAGTAGGGGTGGTCCTGAAGGAGGAATTGGCAAAGAATGTAGTAGAGGTGAAAAGAGTGTCAGATAGGGTGATGTGTCTGAAGGTAGAAGTAGAAGGTCTGATGCTAAATGTTGTCAGTGATTATGCTCCACAGGTTGGTTGTGATGTGGAGGAGAAAGATACATTTTGGAAAGATCTGGATGAAGTGATAGAGAGTATTCCCAGGGAGGAGAGAGTGGTTATTGGAGCAGACCTAAATGGACATGTTGGTGAAGGAAACAGAGGGGATGAGGAAGTGATGGGTAGGTTTGGTGTCAAGGAAAGAAATCAGGAAGGACAGATGGTGGTGGATTTTGCCAAGAGAATGGAAATGGCTGTAGTCAACACTTATTTCCAAAATAGAGAGGAACATAAAGTGATAGGAGTGGAGGAAGGAGTACGCAGGTACACATTCTGTGTAGAAGAGGAAACCTGAGGGAGATTGGAGAGTGTAAGTTTGTGGCAGGGGAGAGCGTGGCCAGACAGCATCCGATGGTTGTGTGTAGAATGGAGATGGAAGGAGTACTTTGAGGAGTTAATGAATGAAGAGAATGAAAGAGAAAGAAGAGTAGAGGTCATAGAAACTGTGGATCTGGAAGTGGGGAAGATTAGTGAGGGTGAAGTCCAGAAAGCTCTGAAAAGAATGAAGAAGGGGAAGGCAGTAGGTCCTGATGACCAGTGGAGGTTTGGAAATGTCTTAGAGAGATGGCAGTGAGGTTTTTGACTCAAATGTTTAATGGCATATTTGAGGGTGAGAAAATGACTGAGCAATGGAGAAGAAGTGTGCTGGTGGCCATTTTTAAGAACAAGGGTGATGTACAGAGTTGTAGCAACTACAGGGGAATTAAGTTGATGAGTCACACAATGAAGATCTAGGAGAGAGTTGTGGAAGTTAGACTTTGACGAGAGGTGACTATCTGTGAGCAGCAGTATGGTTTCATGCCAAGAAAGAGCACCACAGGTGCCATCTTTGCTTTGAGGATGCTGATGGAGAAGTACAGAGAGGTTCAGAAAGAACTCCATTGTGTTTTTGTGGATTTACAAAGTAGAAAAAACATCTGACAGAGTGCCAAGGGAGGAGGTGTAGTATTGCATGAGGAAATCTGGAGTGGCAGAGAAGTATGTTAGACTGGTACAGGACATGTATGAGGACAGCAGGACATGTATGAGGACAGCAGGACATGTATGAGGACAGCAGGACAGTGGTGAGATGTGCTGTAGGGGTGACAAATAGCTTCAAGGTGGAGGTGAGAGTGCATCAAGGATCAGCTCTGAGCCCCTTCTTGTTTGCTCTGGTGATGGACCGACTAACAGATGAGGTCAGGCAGGAATCACGTGGACGATGATGTTTGCAGATGACGTTGTGATCTATGGTGAGACCAGGGAACAGGTGGAAGAGAACTTGGAGAGGTGGAGGTATGCACTTGAAAGAAGTTGAATGAAAGTCAGTCGTAGTAAGACAGAGTCCATGTGTGTGAACAAGAGGGAGGAGGTGGAACAGTGAGGCTACAAGGAGCAGAGGTCACAAAGGTGCAGGACTTCAAGGACTTGGGGTTCACTGTCCAGGAACATGGGGAGTGTGGTAAAGAGGTGAAGAAGAGTCCAGGCACGATGGTGTGGATGGAGAAAAGTTTCAGGAGTGATTTGTGACTAAAGGGTGTCAGCAAAGGTCAAATGAAAAGTTTACAAGACAGTGGTGAGACCAGCTCTGTTGTATGGCCTGGAGATAGAGACATGGACAAAAAGACAGGAGACAGAACTGGAAGTAGCAGAAATGAAGATGTTGAGGTTCTCCTTAGGAGAGACAAGGATGGAGAAGATTAGGAATGAGATCATCAGAGGTACAGCACAGGTTGAACAACTGGGAGAAAGTTAGAGAGGACATACTGAGATGGTTTGGACATGTCCAGAGGAGGGACAGCGGTTTGGACATGTCCAGAGGAGGGACAGTGGTTTGGACATGTCCAGAGGAGGGACAGTGGTTTGGACATGTCCAGAGGAGGGACAGTGGGTATATTGGTAGACGGATGTTAGAAATGCAGCTGCCAGGAAAAAGACCAAGAGGAGTTAGATGCAGTTAGAGAGGACATGGAAGTAGTTGGAGTGAAGACAGAGGATGCAGAGGACAGAGTGAGATGGAGGAGGATGACTCACTGTGGAGACCCCTGAAGAGCAAAAAGCCGAAAGAAGAAGAATTGGAAGTATCTGAAAAGGCTAAATCTAGCTCAAAAACGCTAAAAAGTAGCTGAAATAGCATAAAAAGGTGAAAGGAGCATAACAAGCTGAAATTAGCATGAATAATTTATTTACGTGGAAAGTAGCAGAAATTACCACAAAAAAACTTGAATTTATCTGAAAACATCTGAAATTAGCTAAAAATACAACCAAGAAAGTAGCAGAAAATGTAGAACAAGCTTAAATTAGCAGAAGAAAGCAAAAAGAACATGCTTGCTGAAGAAGCAGAAATGAGCATAAATAAGTGGAAATTATCTGAAAAATGCTAAAATTTGATTAAAAAATAGCTGAAAAGTAGCTAAAAAAAGCAGAAAAGAAGCTGAAATTACAAGAAGGAATTGGAGAGAGTACATTTTTGCTGAATTAGGCTGAAAAAAGTAATTGAGTACAAAAATTATGGAATTAGCTGAAAATGCTTAAATTAGCACAAAACAGCTAGATAGTAGATTAAAAAGCTGAAACTTGCAGAAGTCAGCTGAAAGGAGCATAACAAGCTGAAATGAGCCGAAAGAAATTAGAAGAAGCACAAAAATGTTTTATTTAGCAGAAAGAACCTGAAAGGAGCACAAAACAGCTGAAATTAGCTGAAAGTAGCTGAAAAAAGTTTAAATTTGCAGAAAGAAGCAGAAAGAAGCTGAAGCAGAACAAAATGTGAAAGGAGCAGTAAAAGGTTGTAAACACATCTAAAGATATGAAGGATGTAAAATGAGCTCAATTCATTTTCTATGAGAAAAAATGGAAGAAAAGGCTAAATATTCCAAATAGCTAAAGTTGCACCCAAACCAAAAGTCATAGCAGGATTCTCCTGAAAGAGCTGAATGTTTTGATTTATGATTTGCTGAAACAGCTGCAAACTGCGGGAGGAGAATCATGCTGAAAAACACACTGAAGAAAAACGGATCATCATAGTGTGAATGCTTCATAAATATTCACACAATTAGAACATTCAGAGTTTTATCTCTTACAAATACACCTGAGTCAATTTATAAATAAACTTGTTTTAAGTTTTAATGTCTGTCCCTTTTACTTTAGGATTTTTAAGCTGTTTTCTTGTTGATTTTTCCCTCCATAAATGTGCTGTTGATCTCTGATAATATACTGAAACTCATCAACAAACAGAAGAAGAACGGGGTATTGATCCAGCGGTGTTTGCTCGGCGTGATTTCACCTACAAAAGACACAAATATGAGGTTGATCCGTCGCTCACCTGTTTATGTTCAGGGGACCTGCTGCCCGCGGATGGTGTTTTGGTCCAAGGCAACGATCTGAAGATCGACGAGAGCTCCCTGACAGGAGAATCTGACCACGTACGCAAATCTGTGGACAAAGACCCCATGCTGCTCTCAGGTTTGGCTTCAAATTTTTAATTTGAGGTTTCTAAGCAAAATGTTACAACGGGATGAAGCTCTGTCAACATCGCTCTGCAAAATATTGTTTCCACTTTGTGTTAATTCCACTCGACTAAGTCAGGTTTGTTTCCAAAAGTGAGCAGAACTTTCTAAAGATGCGTAATAAGAACACAACAAATGTCTGAAGGATTTGACAGTATTAAGTCTGGTGATTTCCAGAGTTGATCTTCATGACTCTCACTAATTAACGGCTGTAAACTGGTGTGTTTGGGTGTTCAGGTACTCATGTGATGGAGGGCTCAGGCAGGATGCTGGTGACGGCTGTAGGAGTCAACTCCCAGACGGGCATCATCTTCACTCTGCTCGGTGCAGGAGACATGGAGGAGGACGGGAAAGAGAAGAAAGGTAAGTGACTGGACAGAAGAGACGCCATATTTACAGTTTTGTTTTAACCAACAACCCGAAAGAGTTTCAGAACTTTTTGCAAACCAGTTGACACATTTTATAATTCTCTTCTTTAGTTCAGCTCCTTTCTGTAGGCCCAAAATAGTTTGGAGTGCATGTTAATGACTGAAACTGTTCATACCGTCTTTTCTGTGGAAAATTCATGAGACACAAAATAACCATGAAGTCAAAATATTCTCACAGAAACACAAAATGACAAAAAAACTGAAGAACAAAAGATTTTGACTCGCTCATTCAGGAATGAATGTTGGTGCCGAACCACAATCACAAGAGAAGCTCCTTCGTTTAACATTTTTTGATACATATTTAGAATTATGACACTTCTTTTTTGACCTTATCCTTTTATATTTTTCATTCTGTCATACGGACAAACAGATTAAATTTTATTTAATTCAATTGTAAAGACGCAGCAATTCTGATTTTATAGGTCGATACAAATTTCTGATTTTTATACAGCTCTAACCTGCCAATACAGATTTATCTCATAAAACTCTAGTTAACAGATTTATAAGTAAGGAATAGCAAAGATTATATTTTTTGTATTGATCAGTTCAATCCTGCAGCAGTATAGATGCTGGGGTTCAATTTGTGTCCAAAATTATAGATTGGTTAAAATGTTGGGTGACAGAAGATATGTAAAAAAAAAAATGCAACAAAATGACAATGAAGAGAAACAAAAACGAAATGCAAATCAAATACTGTACACTAAAACACAAGACTACCTGCAGTTGACATAAAATACGCAAATACCCAAAAAAGTTCTCAGTTGGATGCCAACAGCCAGTTATGAGGATATATCAATAAGTGACGAAAAACAGCCACTAAATAACAATATCACAAAAGACCAAACAGATCCACCTCAACAGATTTCAGCTCCAGCTTTGGTGGCCATCTTGGAATTTTTTAAAAATCAGTATTTATTGGGCATTGCTCTCAGCTACCACCACACCGAAGTTCAGCTCAATATCTCAGAATGACTGAGCTATAGTCAATTTTGAGTTTTCTGAGGTAGCTGTGGCAGCCATCTTGATCCTAAATGGCTCCAAAAGTTAATCAGTGTTTTGTTCAGAGCTCTCTCCACTCGAGGTCATGTGACCTCACTGTGGCAGTTAGCTGTTCAGAGTTCTGTCTGGTTTTTTCAGTGAGAGAAAAGGCTTCTTTGTTTGCAAATTACGTTGCCATGGTAACTCAAAACGCCAGTCAAAGTAATAGCACATATCATGGCGCGAGCCGGTCGTTTTGATGTAACATTTGTGGGGGTAAACGTTACGGTTCGAGCCGCATTAAAGTTAACAGAAGAGTTAAACCCTTTTCAGGTGGATAATAGTAGGTGGCTGCCTTGCTGCCTTTCAAGAAGGTTGCTGAACTGAATCCCGGCTGGGGCAGCATTCTGGGTGGAGTTAGCTAAAACGTGCATGTTAGGCTGATTGGTAACTCTAAATTGTCCCTAGGTGTGAGTGAGAGAGTGAATGGTTGTTTGTCTCGTTTGTCTCTATGTGTCCCTGTGATGGACTGGAGACCTGTCCAGGGTGTACCCCGCCCCTCGCACAGTGATTGCTGGACATGGGCACCGGCGACCCCCGTGACCCAAAATGGAAGAAGCGGGTAAAAGATAATGGCTGGATGTATGGATATATATTTATATTTCTTTCTTTATTTCACTTTGAAAGTCTCATTTCTGTGTTGAGGGAGGGGGTTAGATTGTTGAATCTGGGCCCAGAAGCTTGTTGTTGTAACCTGTCCACACATCGCAGCGTGATGGTGGAGTCGCTCAGGTGCTTCACTGATTTCAGATAAAAGCTTGGACAGGAAGCACACCAGTTCAAACTCATAGATAGTTTAACCTACATCCTCTCCCCGTTTTTCTTCTTTCCCACTCGTCTCATATTCTCATGGCCCCCTCCCCTCATTTCTCTGCTTATCCACACCTCTTACATCTTGTTTACCCCGCCACTCTGCCCTCTTTGCACTCCTCTGTTTCTCCATCCCTCCCTTAATCTGAGAGAAAGAGAGGCTGCAGATTCAATCAATTATTGAAAGAGCAGTGGGGTGGGGGGACGAGGAGTGGGGGAGAGATTCAGGAAAGCACATTGGTTGGTCAATGCACGAAGCATTAGTCTATTCTCAAATCTGTTTTGGAAGCGTGCTGCCGTCAGACAACAGGCTGCACATACTTTCAGAAGCACTTAAGGTTAACATCATTAGCAGCTTCCACTGCTGCTTTCACTTCTGTGCGGGAATGCGTGTGGTGTCGTTAGCATCTTGAAAATGAGCAAACGTCATCCTGGAACGCAGTAATGGATGGCGACCGATTGGCTGATGATGGTTATTTTATGAAAGAATCACACTTATCACTTCTTGTCCTCATTTTGCACTCGCAGAAATCTCTGTGAGCTGAATCGTTCAAGCAGTCGTGGACTGGAGCGAATAAATTATTCATTACGCCTCTACAAATATCATAACATGCTAGCTCCTCCTCGAGCAATGTGTGTTTTCTGTTTTACTTCCCTCATTTTTGCTGTTCTTATCCACAGTGATGTAATTTCACGTTCAATCTTTCATTTTTGCTGTCATCTCAGCAGACATACAATTACTTTGTTTTATTTTTCTTCCTTTTTTTTACCCCTTTTTGCCAAATTCCCACCCAAAACCTTTCTTTCTCACACAAACAGAGGACAGTACTCAGTTGCTCATCTCTTCAGATGCCAGTAACAGCACAGTCACCAATGGTATGTGAGCATAAAGTTATCTGCCCCATTCTTTCCCTCAGTCAGTGAATGGACCCCACAGTGACAGTAACTGATGATGGAAAAATGTCTTTCAGTTTTTGACCCGCTGTAAGACAATGACTATACTTTTGTTTTTTCCCATTTAGTTTTGCTTATTTGTGATTTTCCATTCGTTCAGTTGTGTGGCTGTCCCAACATCAGAAATTTGGTTTGCTAACAGCAGTCGCCGTACGTCTGTTTAACTTGCCTTTCTTCGATTTTGTCAGGAAAACAGGCTGATGGAGCCGTGGAGAACAATCAGAACAAAGGTAACCCAGATTTAACCTACAAACTGAGACGATGTCCTACATTTCACTGGCTCTGTTTTGTAACATTTTTACATTTTTATATACATAAGCTAGCTTATATACATTCTAATTTTATTAATTATTTTTACTTAATCAGCCCTTACTGTTATATAACAATATCTACAACAATGCTAAGTGCAGATGCTTGCCCTCTCTGGTCATGGCTCCCATTCCTCCAGTGAATCACAACGTCACATGACCATGCGCCCTCTAGTCATCTCTGATTCCTACTAGTCAGACATCACTTTAAATATTGCAGTATTACTGTGGCCATCTACCAAAAGAAAAATGTTTTGTTTGAGTAGCATGAATAGAATAATAATAAATATAGAACTCCCTATTGGAGAATCAAACACCGTCTGCCACGTGAAAGGCAGAGATTCTCACCTCCATACTAATGTGAAGATGGAATGAATTACATTTCACTGGAAACCAGTTATTCATTCTAGTTCTAAGCCTCCAGTTTTGAGATGTGTTCCTGATGTGTTAGGGGTACAATGGACCAAACCATTGTTTGGCTGATGGGGTGGGACATAATTTTTCAGAGGCATTATTTTGCCAAAATAAATGGTATTAAGTTTTTTTTTTCTTTTTTACATTGCTTAACAGTTAAAAGTTTCTCCAAAAGATTTATTGGGGTGTACAATCTTTGTTTTTTTCCCCGGGACTTCTGCCTGTGGTTGTAGTTACATGGTTGAAGGCATGGTCTTTCATTTACAAGGGTATTGGTTATTCTTACTTCTTTAAAGATTTATTTAGACTTACCTTTCAGCATCAACTTTATACTCTTACACTTTTTTTGGTTAGAATTCGATCATCCTGCTGTTAAACTCTGTTTAGATGAGCATTACTCAAAAATCAAGTGCGGCGTTAAAGGCAATGTATTTAAACACGTTTTCATGTGTTTCTTCCAGCCAAGAAGCAGGATGGGGGTGTTGCCATGGAGATGCAACCTCTGAAGAGCGCAGAAGGAGGTGAGGTGGAGGACAGAGAGAAGAAGAAGACCAGCGTTCCAAAGAAAGAGAAGAGTGTGTTGCAGGGCAAGCTCACCAAACTGGCAGTTCAAATTGGCAAAGCAGGTACGTCAACCCGTAAAGAGATAGATCGTTGTTTTTGTGTGAAATAGTCATGAGTATTCAGAATTTTACTGTACCTGCAGCTCCACTCAGTTTGGAAAAACAGGGCGCAACTCTCAAAGAGGCGTCAACGAAACTTGAGACACACATGCACACTCAAAAAGCTAACTGTGTCTTTAAACTAGTTGGGTTTCAGACACTTTTATCACTAATTTAAAAAGCTCTCGTGCAAAAAGACAAGCAAAGTTTATCAACTTTAAACAAGACATGTACGCAGTGATGCTTTATATAGTTGAATGCAATCACACTTCGTTGGAGATTATCTAGTGCAGTAAAGGAATATTTGTTTGGTATGCTTTGCGGTTTCATGGGTTTTATAGCACCAGACATCTTGAGTAAGATCAAAATGCCAATTTTTGAGCATTCAGTCATAATTAGCATAATGCAAATGAAGCCCATGTTTTTTACAACACAAACACGAGAGACAAACGTTTGTTGTTGTTCTCCTCACAGGCTTGGTGATGTCGGCCATCACCGTCATCATTCTTATGCTGTACTTCGTCATCAACACGTTTGTCGTTAAAGGTCTGTGCGAACGAAACGGTTCACAAAATAATATTTTATTGTTTATTTAGCTTCAACATGGAGTCTGCTGTGTGTTGCAGGTCGCACATGGTTACCAGAGTGCACTCCAATATATATCCAGTATTTCGTCAAGTTTTTCATCATTGGAGTCACTGTGCTGGTGGTGGCGGTACCGGAAGGCCTGCCTCTTGCCGTCACTATTTCTTTGGCCTATTCTGTCAAGGTAAACCCAACTATGTCTGCACAAATCAACTGAACCACTTTACTCCCTTACTGTTTTATGTGTCTCATCATCTCAGCAGCATTAATCCAGATTATTCACTCAAAAATCACAACCAACAAAGCACAATCTTTTGTTTAATCCAGGCAAAACAATTCCATAAATTCTGCAGTTTTACTACTTTTCAAAATTTATTGTACTGATGGATCCTATTGTTTGTGACAAGCCGCACCTTAAGGAAGTTAAAAATATACATAGTTTTTTCACATGACCCTCCTAAAACAGTTTGTATTATGGTATGGGGCTGTCCACCTGTCTGTCTGTGGACAATTTTTTGTCTGAGCTCTAAGTTGACAGCTTGCCAAGTTGTCTAAATTGACAAAAACAAGCTGACAACATAAAAATGTGAAACAGCACAGTTGAACACATCATGGGTCATGGGTGATCCATGTTGATTTCAAGGACAAGAGGTCAAAGGTGAAGGTCACAAGTGACCCCTTTGTTAAAACTTTGTCTCTGCTCCAGCTTGACACCCCAGTAACAGAGAAATTTCAAACCCTTTGTCTCCTAGATTGTCCCTTTCCATCTATGAGACAGTCCATGGTAAATTGTCCATAGTGGACAACTGGATGTCTAGTAAATGTATTCAGACTATGGCTTCACATTAGATCTTATTTGTATTAAGACCACCTCCACCAAATAAACCTTCAGTCGTTCTGGTTCTGGTCTGATCATAAATGGTTTGGTGATTTCCAGGCATTCAGAGTTAAACTAGATCTGATTGTGAAAAGAAACCCAGTTTTAATTTCAGTTTCTTTAATATGCATCAATTAAAATTCCCAAGCATTTTTAAGAGTCCACAAACTCAACAGGAAAACATGCATGGATGAGATAGGAGGAAAAACAGCTGGCACCAACTTTCTGTTTGAAAACAACATCCCTTTGGTTTTTATCAGCATTTAGCACCAGTTTGAGATGGAGTAAGTCAGACTGGATGATGTCAAATGCAGACTGTAGAAGCTGGAAAACCTTGGCAACTGTGTTAGCCCAACCATAAACAATTGTATTGTCAGCACGTAGATGCAAAGAGGCATCAGGCATGTTTTGACCTACATTACTTGCATGACACAAAACAGTCAGAGGCTGGGAAAGGAGAACGGAGTCTCCAAGCCCTGACATTACATAAACTGAAAAAAGTGTAGGTCCTAAAGCTGAGCCTTGTGGCATACCATTAGTGACTGCTACATGGCTAGACAAAGTACCATTGTGTTGAATACATTGCCTCCAGCCTGATCGATAGATCAAAAACCAGCCAACAGTGGGATGTGAGAAACCAATATCTGAAAGAATATGACGTATGATGTCATGATCTACAGTGTCAAAGGCTTTGGCCAGATCTAAGTAAAGTGCAGCACAGTAATCCTTAGCATCCAATGCTTCAACAACATCATTAAAAACCTTTAGCGAATCAATCGTTGTGCTATGTTGGTTCCTGAAGCCAGATCGGTAGGAAGACAAAATGTTAAAAGAATCCAAATACTTCTTGACTTGAGTGTTTATCAGTTTTTCTAAAACCTTAGCTAAAATACAGAGTTTGGAAATTGGTAAATAATTGTTCAGTATAGTGGGGTCTCCTCCCTTCAATAATGGCAGCACAAAACTGTTTCCAAGCATCTGGGACAGTATCAATCAACCTTTATTTATACAGGTAAATCCCATTGAGCCTCGAGGACTCATTTACAAGAGAGACCTGATTTCAACAAAGAAAGATGACAACAATGGACAACAGCAACAACAATAAGCAGTTATAAAAACTCATACTACAGTTTTTTTTTGTTTTTTTTTTTAACAAATAGGATGGCTAAAAGGAAAAAGGTAACAAAACAAAAAAACAGCTAGATTCCAAGACAAATGTAGAAAACTAAAAACAGGAACATGTCAGCATTGGACCCTGCCAGGAGTCCAACAGATTCTTAAAGCCACTTAGAGAGGTCAAGGTCGAGAGCTTCAAATCTTTTTGTAAGATATTCCAGGAAACAGGAGCGGAGTAGGAGAAGAGAAGAAGAAGTATTATTTTGTATGGACAGATTAAACATTTATGACACTGGTTCAGCTATAACTTGTGCAGCTAGACTTAAGAAATAAGGAGGAATGTCGTCAGGACCTACAGATTTTATAGAATCTAGACCTTTAAACTTTTATTTACCTCACTGACTATTTATTTACTGTTTCTTTTTACACTTTATATTTTTGCTATTGTTGGGTGTAACTGGGAACCTGAGTACATAGTTTTGTTCCACCTCATCTACCACATGTGATGTGAATGACAATAAACTCGACTTGAACTTGAACTTGAACTTGACTTGACAGAGAAAGGAGAAAATGAGAAGGTTTGAGTTACGGAGTTGTGACTTCAGGTTTGTCGTGTGAGGGAATTAATGCTCTGGATTTTGATTACTTTGATCATTTACTGACAGGTGCATTACGGACCATTAGTGATACTCTGTTCAGGCTAGTAGGAGAATGGAAATAAGTTAGACGTGAATATGTTGAAATATTTTGAAGTTTTTCTATAATTTTTGCTCAGCTAATTATACAACACAAATAGACAAGGCAGTTAATTGCAGAGTTAGTTTTAACATCAAACATCATCCAGTCTTCTGAAAACAATACAAAAAAGATTGTATCTTATTTACATTGAAGTAAAATGCTTACACATTGTAAATATTGTTTAAGGTTTAAAAAGGTGGATGTATTTTCTCATAAAAACAAAAATGCTTTTGTTGTTTCTTTGGCTGCTTTAAATAAATTAGATAACTTAATTTTTTATCCTTCCATTAGCTGCCGTCTTGAAAAGTGCAGCATCAAAATCCATCTGCTTTTACAACAATTAAATTTAAATTAAAGGCAAAGGAAGTTCATTCATGTTTTATTAATCTTAGATAAAAGCCATTCATATACATAAAACCAGTAATTCAGGAAGAGGAGAACAAATAGAAACCCAGTCTAGATACAGAAAGAAGAGTATTTTTTATTTTTTTAACTTCTTGTTCAAACTGGGTCTACTTTAAATATTTTCTGCAAGTTTAATCCACCAAGAGCTTTGGTGGATCAACTCTTTTCCTCCCAATGCAAATGGATTATCAAAAGGCTGAAACTGTATTTTCTCAGCTTCATAGTCGACAAATTACTGTGACCTCAGCATTAAATCTGTTCTGTTTTAAATAAATACACAACAGATACTCTTCCCCTCAGCACGTAGCTGTAGGAGAGCCAGGGATGCTGCCTTCAGACTGGTGTGACCGCATGGTCCTAGTGCCTGACATTTGTTCAAACTGCTGTCATACAGACAATTTAAAGTGGTGGTGATATTTTCAGCAATAATTTACCCAGACAGCATTAGACAGGTTGTTTTTATCAGTGAGAAATCTTGTGATAATTTTTTAATTCTTGCAAGATCTCATTACATTCCTAGCCTAAAATATTTTTGCCTTTCTGGTGCCAAACCAGAAAAAGTACAAACAGTAAAACCCTAAAACATCAGCTCACAACACGTCTATTTAACTAAAAAAATTAAAAAGACACCATTAAAATCCTAAACTTAAAATAATACAATGTTAAAACTGAACTTTTCATCACGTTTTTTGATTTCTTCATGTGTCTGATATATACAACATAAATTTGCTAGTTCATGTTATAATGATGAGAAAATAAAGAGAGCTCCACAGATCATGTTGTGCTGTTTTTCTTGTGAAAAATTTAACTTTTTACTGACTCTGCCTGAGAGATAAGGCTTCCAGTTTGTCCAGTATGGTTGAATCAAGTGGGGAGAAATTACCAAAATACAAAATAACACTTAAATAGAAAATTTAAATCATTTGATTTAGAAGGATCTTATACAAAAATAGCGTACATAAAGTTATCCTTTTACGATATAAGTAAAATAATTCCTCCCAGAAGTTTTCGTTCTCCATTTATCCAAATTTCTACATTCACCCATACTCTCTATCCATCATCCTGGACCCATCCACCTTCTTCACATGTTCTCTGCTCTTCCTCTATGTCTCATTCTCAGAAAATGATGAAGGACAACAACCTCGTACGTCATCTGGATGCGTGTGAGACGATGGGCAATGCCACGGCCATCTGCTCTGACAAGACCGGCACCCTCACCACCAACCGCATGACTGTGGTGCAGACCTTCAT